TCTCCCTCTCTCTTCCTTTGCGCATTTTTGTTTTTTCTCCGCCCCTCTCTCTCTCTCTCCCTCCCTTTCTATTTCTCTCTGTCTCTCTCTATCTGTTTCTGTCTTTCACGCGAGCTCTCTGTCCCTCCGGTTTCCTCTCCGAGTTGCAGAAATTCCTTCCAAGCACATAAGTTACCCATACATTAATGTGAAAGCTAGTTGTCCAAAGGCTTTGGCAAGTTTGGGTTAAAATGGCCATGCTTCGTGACTGTCCTGCAGAAGTCCAGGGAGCTTGTTGAGCGTGCTCTGGGATCCATTGGAGCACATGACATACAAGTCCCGGCCGCCGAGCATGTTGCCGGTGTGATCTCTGGACATCACAACTGCCTTGAGGAAATGCGTGATGAACTTCGAGTTCAAGGGAACGGTGCGGAGGTGCGGGGCCGTGGCAGCCTCGCCGAGTTGCGCAGGATCCACCATGACAAGGCACCACTTGGGAGCCTCACAAGGTTTGGCTGCACTGCTCTTCTTCAAAGCGCTTTCAAGCTCCGTGGCACTGGAGGGGTAGACTGTGAAATTCACATTCGAATTGATGAGGAACCGGGCCTTAGTTTCGGCTTCCTTCAGGAGCTCTTCATCGAGACATTTCCGCCCATGCAGGAAGATTGCGACAGCTGGGCTTCGGATCGGCTCCGGATCTGTCACAGCCGCTCCTGCAGCAGCTTGTCCAGCTGGTCCCGGCTCCGCTGCGGCGGCCGCCAGTTGCGCTTCCGCTGCCTCCTTCCGAAGCTGTTCCGCAAACGCACGCATCTGGTCTGAAACGTCCCCAGAGCCATTCAGAATGTCCACAACCTCTGAGTTGTTGCGACAGGCTGTCTTCAGCTCCGAATCGTACTTGGCCGAGTAGAGAATGTCCTGCGCGCAGGGCATAAACACCAACCCGAAGGCTAGCGGCCATAAGAATGAAAAAACGGCATGACAATACATGACTTTGTTGACATGAACATGGAATTTAAGATTTCGCGCTTTTACCCGTGAGACTCACGAAGGGAGTGATGTTTTCTGATTGCTCTACTGCATCCTGTCCTGCATCACCCGGAGAAGCAAATCGCTGCTGGCAGGCCAACCAGCCTTCCAGGAGAGATCTTCCTCTGGCTGTTGCGGGAAGCCAAACTTCTTGCGATACTCTTCGGGGCTGCTGAAAACCTGTCGGAGACAACTCTTGTGGTCGGCATTCACAGCCTTGCCCGCGCCTTCGAAGAAGACACCAAGCAGATGATTCTTAATGCGCATCTTCAGCATAAGCAGGTCGATGTAGCCCTTGTTTCTCTCTGCAGTTGTCCCTTGCAGAAAGCGGGATGTGGCTGAGGAAGGGTCCAGGATGCCAGCCCGGCGCTGGTCAATCATGAGGGCAACTACCCAGCACTTCTCGTCCACAGTCAGGCTGCCGACTTTGGCAGCCAAGGCATGGAGCTGCGCGTTGCAAGCAAAGATGCTGCGCTCGGGGTTCTCTCCATCCTCCTGGAGCATCAAATCCAGGACGCGCTGGTGGCAAAGAAGCCTGTCAAAGATAGCCGTGCAGTGATTGACAAGGCCAACCTTGATGGCGTCAGACTTCACCGACAGCGTCAGGTTCTTGTTGTACTCCTCCACAACGCGCTCTGGAGTGAAATGCTCGCCCATCGTGGCACGACGGTGCTGGATATCAAAGACCCTTTGAATTGCCGTGCAGGCTAGCACACCCAGGGCACTCGTGTCTTCCTTCCATTGTTGGGCCTTCCACATGAGGTCTTGCTCGCTGTCCACCATCTGCAAGGTCGCGGGCGCAGTGAGCAAGTGTTCCAGCCAGGCATCCAACACATTGTCAGGATCGTCCCCCTGCTCGCTGACCACGCTAGCTGTCTCCGCAGCCCCTTCATACCAAGCTATGAGAGACTCCACAGGCGACATGGTACGCCAGAGACCAAAAGCGGGCAGCTGCTCAGCCTCCACCTCCGCTCGCAGAACTGCTACCACAAGCTTCTGGGAATCAAATGACGCTGGAGCAGAAAACCAGTGCTGGCGGATGTGCTTGATCGCCCCCTTGTTCAATGGCATCTGCGGGAGAGGGTTGTAGGTCGGATTGAGCCAAGCCAAATTAATGGCGCACAAGTATTTCCCGTCCCGCTTCAGGCTTGCAACCGCTGCCTTCTCCTCGAAAGGCTGCACAAAGCACCTCTTGGGCGGTGTGAGCAGCTCAGCCTTGCCCGAAACTGCTGCGGCATGGTAGCTCTGAACACAATCCAGGTGAGCCTGCAAAACGCCAGCATTTGCCAAAGAAGTCACAGGCGCCAGACCTCCTGCCTGCGTTGCCGCGGCCACCACAGCTGCAGCATCTGGCGCGCCACTTGACGCTTTGGCCTTGGCTTTGGCCTTCTTCGCAGGCTGAGAGCCCTGTCCACTGCTGCGCTTATTGACCATGGAGCCAACGGGCCAGGAGCCAGAAGATCCAAGAAATGAACTTCAGCACTCGTCCACGCAACGTCGGGTACAATCCTAACTTCACACAGAGCAGTCCTGGCACTACGCAGAATTCATAGCACCGGCTGCTGTTTGACGTGACAACACTGGCCCAAAAAACCCAATGTGTATGCCCTCCTTGGATAAACTCTTCAATCCCATCGCCTCTCTACTCATTATTATCTTCCCGCATCTGAATTAACCAGCCAGAGTTTAATTTTAGCGTGATGGAATCTCCTGTGACCCCAGGGTGGCCTTGGAACTAGGTGAGTGTTTTGAGTGGAATTCTAGCCTGACTCTGCTCTGGCCCCTCTCCAACATCTTCAGCCCTCGTCAAAAACTGTGGGTGGAGTTTTCTTGCTATATCAGGAATATGGAGAGGCATCAGGAAGCAGAAACGATTGGCATAATTTGCAGACTCCTTAATCATGCAAGATCCTTATTCGTCTGAACTCCTTACAATATGGAATCCTCAATGCACTGTCAAATACTCTAGGACCATGGCCCAAACAACCAAATACGTATTT